CACGAGATACTGGGATAAAAAAAGTCATGGGACTCAACAGCTAATCAAGAGGTCGCTTGCAGAGGGTACAGCCAATCAAATTCATCCAAACGCATAGCCAATCAGATTCATCCAAGACATAGTTAAATCATGCAGAGACTGAAGCGGAAGGCAGACGGAGGCTCCAACTGGCTCATGCACCAGTTCCTCATCCAACGGGCAAACCAACACCCATCCCCTTTTCTCATCTAAAGACATCTTGGCCAACATCTACTAAAGTCCGATTTCTAGTTCTTCACCTTACTGGGGCTGAAGGTTGCTGCTATCCATCTTTCCCGAGGGGGCTTGCCCCCCCCCCCCCCCAGCAGCCACGGCAAATCACTTTAATACAAATGTAATTCAAATAAATGCAGGAGAGCGCGGACTCACACAAGCGTGCTTTCAAATAACGAGCTCTGTCGCATCCCCACTGTGTCCCCGTAATCTTTCAGCTAATTGCACATTTTCAGCGACCTCGTTAAGGCAAAATCGGCTTAATGCTCTGCAAAGTTCATCATTTTACCCAGTTAAGCATCTTCTCGCTGATGAAGCCTTCAAATCAAAATACGTCTAAGATCATATTTACTGCCTCCGGGGGAGGAAAGGCTCTGCTCAGAAACAGCTTCATAAATCATACAAGATACGGACGACTGAGGAGTCGAATGGATATGGTGCCGCGGTTAGACTTTCCCACAAGTCCCAACCTCCAACACGATGCCCCCCGAGAAGGAGGCCAGAGTGTTTCTGCCAACATGAAGCGACTTCCTGTTTGTCCACAACATGGCTTATCTCAGGCATGACTCTGCTCAAGACATAAAGAAAGCAGCTTGTGATTTCTTGGGAAAGTCCCAAACAGAGCTATGCAGCTCTGAGGAGACCATGAATGCCCGAGGCCCCAAACCGCGGCCACAGGCAGCAAGGTCAGCGTCCCAGCTGTGGCTCAGCCTGACGTCGTGTTGGCTACACGATTAGAGCTCAGAGCCTGGCCCATAATGCCCACGACCCCCACCCTGCCCCCCCCTTCCTGATACACCTATACATCTTTCCATCTTTCACACCTTCAATCGTCCCTGGGCTAAATTACTGATACACCAGGCAGCAGAAATAACAGGAATCATCTCAAGCAGGAACATTCAATGCCATACAATGTCCAGAAGCCCCTCCCCCTTCCCCACAGACACACTAACCTTTTAACAGGAAAAGGAACCCCCCCCCCCTTTTCTGCTGAACAGGCAGAGACAAGGAGGACGGTACCCGTACCGAGGGAGGAAATTCAGAAACATGTCATACTGAGACTGCAGATCGCAGCCACCCTCAGTCCCCAGCGAAGGGTTTGAGTGAACTCGCCGTGTGCAAGGTGTCAAAGGTCAGGACGCACGGGGGGGGGG